GATAGAGTGTCAGCCTGCGGACTGAAGGGTCCCAGGTTCAATTCCGATCAAGGGCACATGCCAGGGTTGCGGGCTCAATCCCCAGTAGGGAGTGTGCAGGAAGCAGCTGAATGCAGGAAGCAGCTGAATCGATGTTTCTAACTCTCTATCCCTTTCCTTCTCCCTTCCTCTCTGTAAAAAAATCAATAAAATATATATATTTTTTTTAAACCTGAAAAGAGAATAAAAAGGCCATGTGGTCACCTGGAGAGTAATGAATGCTCTTGGGTTGTGTAGCAGTTAAAAGATAATACTTTTTAAAAAAAAATACATATTTTTATAGATTTCAGAGAGGAAGGGAGAAGGAAAGGGATAGAGAGTTAGAAACATCGATGAGAGAGAAACATCGATTCAGCTGCTTCCTGCACACTCCCTACTGGGGATTGAGCCCGCAACCCTGGCATGTGCCCTTGATCGGAATTGAACCTGGGACCCTTCAGTCCGCAGGCTGACACTCTATCTACTGTGTAATTTTTTCTCAGGCAAAAGATAATACTTTTTATTTTATTAATAGTTGATCTTGAATCTGAGATTTTTCTTGGGCTCACATTAACTAGGCATTAACAGTTTAGTGAGGTTTCCAGAGTAAGCCAGTGGTCAGGATTTTTGTTTGTTTGTTTGTTGTCAGTTTTAATTTGGAATATTATATACTGAATCACATTTTCCTTTTACTCAGGAATTATAAATCAGAAGAAGAATTTGTTCGTATCAATAACAAACTGCGTCGGGGAGACATAATTGGAGTTCAGGGTAATCCTGGGAAAACCAAGAAGGGTGAACTGAGCATTATTCCCTATGAGATCACACTGCTGTCTCCTTGCTTGCATATGTTACCTCATCTTCACTTTGGCCTCAAAGACAAGGTAAGCTCTCGTGACTTCCCAACTGTGGTCTATCATACCATTGAATCAGCCGTGTTAGTGATCTCTGTTGCTTTTGGTTTAGGAAACACGATATCGTCAAAGATACCTGGACTTGATCCTGAATGACTTTGTGAGACAGAAATTTATCATCCGTTCTAAGATCATCACATATATAAGAAGTTTCTTGGATGAGTTGGGATTCCTAGAGGTAATGGAGAGTTCTTAACGAATAGGCTGCCTTGCCATGCTTGCCTCTTACTGTTCCTTCTCTTCCCTTTTCCAAGGCATGTCTTGTGTCAGTATCCTTCATGCTCAATGAAAAGTTCCCTTTCTTGCCAGCATCTTTGTACTACTATGTTTTCTTAGTACCCTGATTAGGAAGGACCTGATTAGGTTTCCTAGATAAAGGACAAAGTGTAGTAATGATACCATCCAAACAGTAATGATACCACATTCAGTGTGTTATCAACTCATTTTGCTTTTCTGTATCATTAAAAAATAGTTTTTAATTTCTTAACATCATTGATAGATTCTGCAACTTTAAACAAAATAACATAATGAAATCAATTTTACCATTGATATTAAGGCTGATTGATATTAAGAGTTAAGTTCCTGTGGCATTTAAATGTTATAACTAACATTAACGAAATGTTATCCAAGGAACTGTTGTACTGCTTGGTATTTAGAAAATTAAGCTGCGTCTACTTTTTTGTCAAGTACTTGCACATTACTATTGAACTTAACTTTTACTTAGGGATAGAACATGAACTTTCCCCCAACGCCTCTGGTTTGACACCCCTGAGAACTAAATGTTTCTCCCTGTTCTTTAGATTGAAACTCCCATGATGAACATCATCCCAGGGGGAGCTGTGGCAAAACCTTTTATCACCTACCACAATGAGCTGGACATGAATTTATACATGAGAATTGCTCCAGAACTCTACCATAAGGTAATCAAGAAGAAGATGCCTGTGGCCTTAGAGAAGCAGAATGCTGGAGAGCCATTGACTGGACAGATGCAGTCAGAAATAAGAGGAATAGTGAGGGTAGAACAGCCGGGAGAATATTCTAATTTGTCAGGCTTGTGAGGATTAAACTTACAGAATTTCTCTACAAGATCAGTAGAGCATTACAGGTTAGAGGGCAAAGGGATCTTTCCTAGGTGTACAAGTCCTCCTACCCTGCATTGGTTTCCATTATAGTTTATAGTTCTCCTTGAATTAGATCTGATTTTAGTGTTTTGTAAAAAAGAGAACTTAATCTCTCTCTAGAAGTTTGAAATAAGTACCTTCAAATCACCAAAATAAATATTGAAAACTATCATTCAAGATTCTTAGTTGCAGACAACAAAATCTCTTACAACTAGTTTAAGCAAAAGAAAAATGTATTAAAATATATGAGGATGCTCAGTTTTCAGGAGGATCAAAAAATCAGGTTTGGAAACCACATGATGAGGTTTCTGAATCCGTTGTAAGGTCATCCCCTGGGAAACGTAGTATCTTTTCTACTAGGCACAGTTACCACGGCTCATAACCCTGGCACTAGGCACAGGTCACTGCCCCTAGGAGCCTCTGCAGTTACTACTTCTAAAAGCTAGATCTCTCTGGCGCCTTGGCCAGAAGGAATTCCGTGCGATACCTCATCTTCTTTCAATAGCTTCCTAGTTGAAGCCTCACAGTTATGTCTGATTGATGGGGAACTGTGGTCATGTGTCTGCATCCTAACCCCAAGAGAGGCTTCTCTCTTGGGGAGGTTCACACTCATAAGACGTGGGGACACCCAGACAAAGGAACAGTATTCCGAGGTGCTGGGCAGCCAAAATAATTAGTGATGACTATCCACTACAAAGACCTAAAGAGAGTAGGGTGCTTGGCATTAGTAGGGACCTGAGATCATGCTTGAGCTGTAAAAACCAAGGTACAGCTTTTACAGGCTGAAACTTTCCAGAGTCATTAAGATAAGATTAGCCACCATGACATATATTTTATTGTTAGATGCTGGTGGTTGGTGGCATTGACCGGGTTTATGAAATTGGCCGCCAGTTCCGGAACGAAGGAATTGACATGACTCACAATCCTGAGTTCACCACCTGTGAGTTCTACATGGCCTACGCAGACTATCGAGATCTCATGGAAATCACAGAGAAGATGATTTCAGGTGACCCCTCCCGCTTGCTTTGTCTTTCACATCAGTCTGAGGGGCTGGTGTGCTGCTTTCAGGAGGACTTCAAATGGTATTTCTTTAAATGGTATTTCTTTCCCAGGGATGGTAAAGCACATCACAGGCAGTTATAAGGTCACCTACCATCCAGATGGCCCAGAGGGCCAAGCCTACGAGATTGACTTCACCCCACCATTTCGGAAAATCAGCATGGTAGAAGAGCTTGAGAAGGCCCTGGGCGTGAAGCTGCCAGAAACGAACCTCTTCGAAACTGAAGGTAAAGTGATGCAGGCCTCCATTGTGTGCCTCTCCTTTCTGTTTAGTTCTGAATTAGATAATGTTGGGGCTAGCATTTCCCACTTTCTATACCTTCTTACTGGGGAAGTATGATGTCTTCTGTCCTAACTCGTACATTTGTATTACAGAAACTCGCAAAATTCTTGATGATATCTGTGTGACAAAAGGTGTTGAATGCCCTCCACCTCGGACTACAGCCAGGCTCCTAGATAAGGTGAAAAGGCCATGCACGTTAGTACATACCCTCATCCGGTGGTAACCAGCCCCCCGTTCCTTATGAAGGTGAACTAGAGATAAGAGAATTAACAAGTTTTGCTATATTAAATTCTGCAAAATAGTTATGGATGGTAGCTCAGTTAATCCTTAGCTCTTGAAGAGTTGGTGTGTGTGGAGACTGATCCTCTTCCACCTAGCCTGGGGCAATCAAAATGCCATTCAGAAAGGATCTCAAGCTTGCTTTTCTTTCTCACTAAGCTTGTTGGGGAGTTCCTGGAAGTGACATGCATCAATCCTACATTCATCTGTGATCACCCTCAGATAATGAGCCCTTTGGCAAAATGGTAAGATACAGCATTGTGTCAGTTACCTATTGCTTCATAACATCCCCAGAACTTAGTAGCATAAAATAGCTTATTAATTCTCAACATTTCATGAGTTCATTGGGTAATCTCTCTGTTCTACGTAGTGTTGGCTAGGGTAACTCACCTGGCTTTTTTCAACTGGGAACTCTGCCAGGGCACCTTGCTTCTCCACATGTACCTCTCTGACAGTGTAGTCTGGACTCTTATTTGGCAGCTGGGTTCTAAGAGGAAGCACTCCCAGTGTGCAAACACATGTCAGGCCTCTGCTGTTGTCCCAGTGACCAAGCAAGTCATATGGGCAGCCCAGAGTCCATGCGACAGGGACTATAGGAAGTGTGGTTCGGTGTGGCAGTCTACCACACAGGTTTGTTGTGAAGATAGAGCTTCCCTGTCTCCCTGTGTAACTGTCCTCACTATTGTACCAAATGATTTGGTGCTGAGAATGTATGCAGGCTTCAGTAACTTTTGAGTCAGCTGGAATTCAGGAACTCATGTTCGTACCAGATGGTAGATTATTAGTGAACCTCCCCTTTGGTCTCTGGTCCCCAGGCACCGCTCTAAAGAGGGTCTGACTGAGCGCTTTGAGCTTTTTGTCATGAAGAAGGAAATCTGCAATGCCTACACCGAGCTGAATGACCCCATGAAGCAGCGGCAGCTTTTCGAAGAACAGGCCAAGGTAAGGAAGGAGAGGGAACAGAGGCATATATTTCATCAGTGCCCGTACTCACCAGGAAATCAGCTTGAACCCTGGTCTGTGTCATTGTTTGCATCTCTTGGTGACTTCAGCAGAAATGAAGGATAAAGCCACTGGCTTCACTAGAGGAACTCACATTTCAAGACTGAGAACTTGACTAGTTGGGCCCTAGAATTTCTACGTGAGAGGAGCTTTAGGCAAGATTATCTCTGTAAGGAGTGTGACACTTGTCTTCCAAATACATTTGCCTAACAATGTAATTTTTTCTCAGATGGTACATTTATTGAAGTGACTGGGGATGAGAGGCAGTTAAAGATTAATGCAGACAAAGCCCTCACAGGCTGCCTGCACAAACATTGCCACTGACAGGCGGTTTTAGGAAATGAGGGGAGGACTCTTGGGAATCATCAGAGTCTCTGAAAATCAGTCTCACTGGGTTTGCAGAGCCCCAGGCAGTGGAGCTGTTTTCATTTCAGAGAAATTTGCATGTGATCTGAGGTAGATTTCATCATTCCTGACCTCCAGGCTCCATCCTAGAGTTACAAGGAAACCCCATTCCCAGTAAGTGCTGGGTGTCCAGAACATCCCTGGAATGGTCATCTTCTGAGTGTCTTAACATGCTGACTCAGACACCGAGAGATGATGCAGCCCAGAACACTGTCCCTGTGTGGTTCTCTTCTCTTCTAGGCCAAGGCCGCTGGCGATGATGAGGCCATGTTCATAGATGAAAACTTCTGCACTGCCCTGGAATACGGGCTGCCCCCCACAGCTGGCTGGGGCATGGGCATTGACCGAGTCACCATGTTTCTCACAGACTCCAATAACATCAAGGTACAGTAGCCCTCCATGGGCACACCACCCTGAAGCGCTCCACTGGGTTAGACCTGGGACGTGGTGGGCCTGGAGAACAAGAGTGTGCTTTAGGCTAGAGGGAGGAGCGGACAAAGGAGTTATATGCAACGCCATGGGCAGAAGGTCAGAGCATGTAACCTTAGAGGATTTGAGGCAGAAGGAATACTAACTGCTTGCATTTCTTGAGGATCCAAAAAACATGCTATGAATCATCTCAGTTAACTTAAGTCAGCCCTTTGAGGTGTAGAAACTATTGTTAGTTCATTTTTATAGATGAGGAAATCAAATTTTCAGAGAACTCCCACGTTTATTGATCCTTTTGACATTGTGCCCTGGGCAGTGCTGTGCATGTTTGTATTCTTTTCTGTCCTCTATAATTGAAAGGAACTGAGTTGAATTAAAGAACACATCTGTCTATTCAGCTGGGATGTAGAGCTCTCTAGGTTTTGGTTGTAACAATCACCAGAGGCAAAAGGAATGGGTGGAGAGCTGTGAAAAAAAGAGTGTTTCTTATCTTCAAAATGCATTTTATCTCCCATAGGAAGTACTTCTGTTTCCTGCCATGAAACCTGAAGACAAGAAGGAAAATGTAACTGTTGATACATTGGAAGGCACAGCAGTTGGCACTTCTGTTTAGAAAATAGTAATTGCAAGTCACAGAACTCAGGCATCTTTGCACTATTGCAGAAGATCAAGGACTGCAAGGGAATTCTTGTATGTTGCTATCCACTTGACTATTGCAGTTCAGTAACCACAGAGAGAAAAGGAATTAAGAATTCCTCTTTTACTTCTTGTTACCAAATAAACCATTTGTCTCTATTCCTGCCTCATCACTCTTTTACCTTTGGAATGTCAACTTTTTTCTCAGGTTGCTGGCCTAAAGAAGGTTTAGACTTATACTGCTTTATTCAACAAATTTATATTAATGTCTGCCAGACATTGGTCTAAGGCCGTGGTTGGCAAACCGCGGCTCACAAGCCACATGCGGCTCTTTGGCCCCTTGAGTGTGGCTCTTCCACAAAATACCACGTGCGGGCACGCACGTACAGTGCGATTGAAACTTTGTGGCCCATGTGCAGAAGTCGGTATTTTGTGGAAGAGCCACACTCAAGGGGCCAAAGAGCCACATGTGGCTCAAGAGCCGCGGTTTGCCGACCACTGGTCTAAGGGATTAGGAACACAGCAGTGAACAAAAGCCAAGTCCCTGCTTTCATAGAACTTATATTCTTTACTTAGGGGTGGGGGTTGGGTGAGCAGACAATTAGACAAGTATATATTATTTCTGGTAGAAGTACATACTAAGAAGAAAAATAAAGCAGAATAAGGAGATAGGTGCTATTTTAAATATGTGATCAGGGAATATCTAGGTAACTAAGTAGAGATCTGGAGATGGAGATCTGAGAGAAAAGAGGAATCCAGACTAGAGGACCACATTTTTTTAGGGAGAGCAAAGGTTCTGGTGTGACTGGAGAGCTAATGAAGGTCAGTGAAGGGCCAGATCTCACAACCCCCCCACCCCCGTAAGTCATGCAAAGGGGTGTTTTATAAATGAGATGGAAAGCCACTGAGTTTTGAACAAAGGAATGTTTTTATTAATATGTGGTGTGTTTTTTAATTGATTTCAGAGAGGGAGGGAGAGAGAAACATCAATGACAAGAGAGAATCACCAATTGGCTGCCTCCGGCACACCTCCAACTGGAGATTGAGCCTGCAACCTGGGCATGTGTCCTGACCAGGAATTAACCTGTGACCTCCTGGTTCATGGGTCGATGCTCAACCACTGAGTCACTCTGGCTGGGCAGAGCAGATGGTTGTTTTTAGAAGATCTAGTTAGCATGTGGAGGACAAGAGTGCAAAGTAGGGAGACCACTTAATGCTATTGCAGTGGGATGTGGAGAGATGATGGCTTAGACTTAGGTGGTTTAAGGTAATAAAAGTCATTGGACTCTCTGCCTGTGTTCCTGAGGTCAGCAAAATTTGCTGATTGAAAGAGGATTGTGAGAAAGAGCCTAAGATGATTGCAAGGTTTTGGGTCTAAACAACTGAAAAGTAGAGTTGCCCTATATTTACTGACATGGATGAAACAGGAAGGGCAGGTTTGAAAGGGAAGAGTGAGTATTTGGTTAAGTTTGACATGCCTGTTAAAAGATGGATGGGGATAGCAGCATGTTGAATAGTCTGAATTTTTCTTATTTTCAGTTCAACTCAAGAATGACAAGGGTATGGCTGAGGGACTGCTGTTATAATGGAGTCCCTGGTCCCTGGCACAGGGAGGCATCTGGGGGGACCTTTTTTCCCAATGAGTCAGGACTTATCTTCTGTACCTCAACAAAACGGCAAGCATCTGGTTTGAGAGGTGCCAGTATACTGATAAAATGACCTAAGCATGCTGAGTTACCTACGTAGGAATAACTTCAGAGAGTGGTGAGCACCTACCCCTCTTGCTGTTAGTTAGACATAGGCTCCAGGAGCACTTGGCATGATAGTAGATAACCAGGTGGTATTCCAGAAGAAACACTTCCACCTGGCACATCCTTCAGCAAGGTGGTGTTAAAGTGAAAACAATCATCTCACCAAGGCAGAGGGTATAGAGCCAAGATAAGGGCCTGGACTTTACGAACACTGTGCCATCAATGTGGACTTTTGAAGAGGCAAGAAGGATTAATGAGGTCACAAGTGACCATTAAAGAGCTTATCAGTAGTAAGCTGGGGGGAGAAGCCAGCTCTCACCTCAACGAGGCTGGAGATAGAACTGAAGCAGCAGTAGACAACTTGTTTATGGGGTCAGCAGGAAAATGACAAATAGGATGATAGAAGGATTATAAAGTCCTCATTATTAGCCACATGTGGCTATTGAGCATTTGAAATGTGGCTGGTTCAAATTGAGATATGCTCAAAGTGTAAAATACACCCTGGATTTCTTAAACTTGGTATAAAAACATTTTTAAATATCTCAATTTTTTAACATATTGATTACCCTTGAAATACTACTTTGGATATACTGGGTTAAGTAAGATAGGTGATTAAAATTAGTTTCACCTATTTAGTTTGACTTTTTAAAATATGTCTATTAGAAACTTTAAAATTACATATCTAGCTCAATTTTAAGTTACATATCTAGCTCAAATTATATTTCTATTGGACATTGCTGTTTTAGACAGAAATTCAGGCTCGTGTTCCAAGACATGATATCATTCTACTATTATTTGAACCATATCTTACCCCGGAGTCAGCTTCCTTCAGCCCATTTCACCTGTACCTACGTACAGTTCCGCAAGCCGCCCGACCGGAAGCACCAGTACCACGCCCGCTGAAGGACTACAAGAGCCAGCGTACCCTGCGCGCTTCTGGGGGCGGGGCTTGGAAGAACAGCCTCTTTGTGACGTTACGTTCCCTACGCTGCGTGGTTCCGCTCGTTCCCTCGAGGGCGCGCGTCTTGAAGGTGGGAGGGGAGCGTCGGTGACACGGTGGGTTTACTCGGCCAAGGGCACGCGAGCGAGCTGGGGCCCTGGGATTCCCGGTGAGGTGCCCTCGGTCTGACTTTTCCGAGGCCATATTGTGTGGGAAGAGGTGAGGACCGTGCCACCCCCGATGCGCGCTACGTGGCAAAGTGCTGCTCCTTGCTCGGCTGTGCCGGTGTCCGCCGCGTGTGCGAGCTCTAGCTGCGGGCGAGCGCGGGGGGTGTGCCCTCCGCATCCCGCATAACCCGCTGAGGTAGGCGCGCACCTTATTCCTGCTTCACGGGTCTGCAGACGCCCTTGTAACCTGGGGGTCCGTTGTAACTGGACGAATGGGCCCAGCCCAGGCCTCTGGAGAAGAGGGTCCGCTGCCGCGTTCATTGAGGAGGGGGCCTCAGGGGAGTGGGTTACGTCCTCCCACCATCGCTAAACCCTTCACTCCCCTGGCAGCCGACCTGCCTTAATTTTTACTTCAAAAGGTGGTGGGTTCATAAGCTCTCTGCAACTGTCATAACAAGCGGTCTTGGTCTCTTGCGGGACAAAACAAAAACAAAAAAAGCCTGTTTAACGGAGCTATTGTTGCATAGGAAGCAGCTGTTCAAGATCTAGGAGAGAGTGGATTTGAATTTTAGTGGACCCAGTATATAAAAAACATTTCTTCATCTATTGTGCAGGCTCCTTCAGACTCACACGTTAATGAGGTGATATACAGTTCTGGGCTGCTTCATCGTAGGCGTCAGCGTTTCTTACCGCAAGTTGTGTCTTCCTTGCTCTTAGTAGCTTGTGGTGTGTATCTCTGGTTTAATTACAGGTTGTTTCTCTGAGTATCTGCCTTCATAAAATATATAGCCCAGTGATAGCCGCATCCCTTCCCCCTAGAAATGAGAGGGAAATCCAGATGGAGGATTTCAGAGTCTCCCATACTTTTCTTATGCTCCAATAGATGCAAGACTTATGTTGGATTTCTGACTTTAAAGTCACAGTTATGTCAGTTTCTGCCAGATTCCTGTTTTAAATCACTCTGGTCTGATTTTCCATGACCAGTTATTGCAGTGACAGGCCTGCACATCTGAACTGCTAAATAGATAGGCATATGAAAGAATTTTAAAAGTTTATTTGAGCAAGGAGCAATACTAACCCTCCAGCACCAAACCGGAAGTGGTTTGGGTCACTCTGCAAGCAGGAGCTAGGGGAAAGACAGAAAGTGCATAAGCAAGAAAGGAAATTAAGCAATACTAACCCTCCAGCACCAAATCGGAAGTGGTTTGGGGCACTCTGCAAGCAGGAGCTAGGGGGAAAGACAGAAAGTGCATAAGCAAGAAAGGAAATTATTTGATTGGCTATAGCTTAAAGCCTAATTAGCTGTGATTGGTTGACCTCAGTGTTTTGATGTGAGCTTTGTGGAGGTAAGAAAGGTCCAAACCTACAATTTTATGAGTGTATTTGAACCAAACTGACAATTCCCAGGAAGCAGACATTGATGGATTGAGAAAATGCTTTAGAGAATAGCAGTTTTGCACCTTATTTTATGTATTAGAATAAAAGGAGAGGTAGGAGGGTTACATGAAATCCATGTAGATTAAGGGGGCTGGAGAAAGCAAAGCAGGGACATCTCTGGGATCAGATAAAAAGGCAAAAGAGAGAAACCACATAGATCTTTTTAAAAAAATATATATTTTTTTTATTGATTTTGCAAAGCAGGGACATCTCTGGGATTGGATAAAAAGGCAAAAGAGAGAAACACATAGATCTTTTACATTGGTAGATACAGGATAGTCAATCATCAACATAGCACACTAGAGGCCTGATGCATGAAATTCCTGCAAGAACAGGCCTTCCTTCCCCTCCTCCCCCTGCTGCCGGCACCAGCTTCCCTCCAGCACCTGGGACCCGGGCTGCTTCCCTCTTACAGCCGCCCGCAGGCACGTGGGACCTGGGCTGGCTTCCCTCCAGCCCAGACTTCATCAGGAAAGACATCTGGAATGATGTCCGGAAGACATCCAGTCTAATTAGCCACATAGATCTTTTATATTGGTAGATACAGGATAGTCAATCATCAACATTTATAGCACACTAGAGGCCTGATGTATGAAATTCCTGCAAGAGCAGGCCTTCCTTCCCCCTCTCCCTCCGGCTGCCAGCACCAGCTTCCCTCCAGCACCTGGGACCCGGACTGCTTCCCTCTTACAGCCGCCCGCAGGCACCTGGGACCTGGGCTGGCTTCCCTCCAGCCCTGACTTCATCAGGAAAGACGTCTGGAATGATGTCCGGAAGACATCCAGTCTAATTAGCATACTACCCTTTTATTATTATAGATAGATAGAACAAGATGACAATGAGGGCTTCTATGGTCTCTTGCTCTGGTGGTGGTTGTGCCCTGAGGGATCTGGAAAAGGAGAATACTCTGATATTTCAAAAGTATGTTTTCTTAGACGCAGAAAGACAATAGACAGGTTCACTTAAGGTAAAGATTGACCTTTGTCAAGGGAATCTACAGGCCTAGGACATGACTACCCACCATAACTTGCTTTTAGTTAGGAAGTTTTATATTCAGGTCATCTATGTAGTTACTTTTGGTCTCTGAGTTTGTAAGGCTTGCCATATTGGCCTTCCCTGAGCTTGTCAGGTTTAGGATGTGGCCCCTTTTTCCTTCACATCCAAAGGTTCCTCCAAATTTGGTTTTCCTCCAAATCAGAGGTTCTTTTTAGTATTACTAATCACAGTTGACACTAATTGTGCTCAATGTTATAGCAGTTACTTTTTATAGATACTTAATCCTCACAATAACCCCATGGATTACATTTGACTGTAATTATTATTTTAATAGATGAAGAAACAGACACAGGTTAAGCAATCTACCCAGTTCCACACAGTTACTATAAGCAAAGCCATAATTAGAACCCAGAAATGGTGACTAGAACCCACATTCTTCCCAATTCCTATGAGAACACTTGACTAGTGAGAAACTACTGGGCTCTGTCGCTTCACTGCATCATAAAACGATATAGGAGAAATTAAAGGTTTGCTTTCCTGAGAGGGGCATCAGTGGAGATTTACTGGAGGGAAATACAGAACCAATTTGCACCCTAGCCAGTTTGGCTTAGTGGATAGAATGTCAGCCTGCAGGCTAAAGGGTCCCAGGTTCAATTCTGGTCAGGGGCTCAGTCCTCAGTGAGGGGCGTGCAGGAGGCAGCCAATCAATGATTCTCTCTCATCATTGATGTTTCTGTCTCTCTTTCCCTTTCTCTTTGAAGTCAATAAAAATATATTTTTCAAAAAGAGAACCAATTTAGGGTGGAGGGGGTAGAGGAGAGAGAAAAATAAAATGCCTGAAAGTGAGGATAAAAAACAGCTTGGCCCTGGCCGGTTTGGCTTAGTGGATAGAGTGTTGGCCTGGGAACCAAAGGGTCCCCGGTTCAATTCTGGTCAAGGGCACATGTCTGGGTTGCAGGCTTGATCCCCAGTGGGGGGCATGCAGGAGGCAGCCAATCAATGATTCTCATCATTGATGTTTCTGTCTCTCTCCCCCTCTCCCTTCCTTTCTGAAGTCAATAAAAATTTGTTTGTTTGTTTGTTTTAGAAAAGAGCATCTGTAAAGGCAATTTATATAATTAAAAATATTTTCAGTTAATATATATGATATATATATATGTATAATATATATATATTTTTAAACAGCTTGAAGAAATAGAAGTCTTCTGGGGTTGATAGGATTTGGGATTTCTTTGATCTTTCCTTAAAGATGAAAATGGGCAGGGAAGTAGGAGAAAATGACCCATAGAGTTTCAGATAAAGAAACCTCAGTGTGAACACAGGTGAGCTACACCGGAAAGCCCTGTTGAAATACACTGGTGCGAGGGTGTAGCATTGTGCATTGGTCCTCCTTTCTGTACTTATGATGGTTGTGATTTCTGATTAGGATCTCAGCACCAGCTCAACCATGTGGACCCCGGATGAGATTGCGCGCCTGTGTTACGAGCACTATGGGAGCAGGCTGCCCAAGCAGGGGAAGCCTGAGCCCAACCGGGAATGGACGTTACTAGCAGCCGTGGTGAAAATACAGCCTATAGCTGGCCAAGCCTGTGACTGCCCTGACAAACAGGTGCAAGGTGAGACCTTTTCTCCTTGAAACTCTCCCTCTTTTTGTCAGAGATGGTAGAATGATACATGGCTCTACACAGGGACAGTCGCCGCGGGTATAAACTGCGATATTGGGCATGTTCCCCTGCTCTCCGCCAGGTGGCGCAGTACTTCAAGCGGTGGGAAATGGCCGTGCTGGAACCGCAGTCCTCTCAGATGGGTCAGCCTATGGGAATGCTGAGGAATGTGCAGACTTATTAAACCCGAGGACTGGGGACTATTCCGATTCTAAAAGCTCACTAATAACTCGTTTTTTCTTCCCTCAGTGACAAAGGAAGTTGTCTCAATGGGAACAGGAACAAAATGCATAGGCCAGTCCAAAATGAGGAAGAGCGGTAAGCCCACATTGGGTCTAAACATTGCCTGTCTAGGGAGCTTTGGAAATGGTGTCCATGTTGCACTTTCCTCTCCTCTTCAGAGCCAAGGGGTCATATTACTGAGATGGCTGACATTTCAGTTCACACTGACTGTCACTGGCTCCAGTTGGAAGGACAGAACTCATTTAAAGAACGGGAATAACCAATGGAAGCAAAGGCTGCCAGGAACGCGCTTTCTTAGTGGATTGAAAGTTGGCCAGTATTTTCATGCTCAAACCAGAAGTTCCCTGGGCTTAGCTAATTTTCAGTATCTCTGAAAACCCAGAAAGCAATCGGCACCAAAAAGAATATGGAAATTCCTTGGAGTTCTGGTATCTTCATCTTCTGCTTCCAGTTAGCAGAGGCCTCCTGGAGTTTGTTTCACCCATTCTCCTAGCTTTGCCTCCTGTATATGAGGAAGTTGTTCAAGGACCACTATGTATCAGCATGAGCCCAAGTATGATACCAGGGCACACTTCGCCCATTCTCCTAGCTTTGCCTCTTGTATATGAGGAAGTTGTTCAAGGACCACTATGGATTGAATTCCATGGAAATGTATCAGCATGAGCCCAAGTATGATACCAGGGCACAAAAGATCTGGATCCCTGTCCTTCAGATAAAGATTTCCTATAAATCAGTAGTTCTCAGCTAGGGGAGATTTTGCCCCCAGGGGACAGTTGGCAATGTCTGGAGACATTTTTGGTTGTCATACCTGGGAGAGGGGAGTGTGCTGCTGGCCTGCCAGGAATGCTGCTTAACATCCTACAATGCACAGGACAGACCCCGCACAACAAAGAATTTTCTGGTCCAAAATGTCAATAGTGCTGAGTTGAGGAAGCCCGAAGTAAATGCATTGCCATTAATGATTATGATGCTTTCTGGCAGAGCCCTCCAGGAGCTACGTGGCCATCCTGGGTGCTGGGGGAAACTGCTATGTTGTGCTGCCAGGAACCAGGGCGTCTCCAGGTTCCTATGTCTTCACTAGTGTCCTGTCTTTGCCACAGGAGATATCCTCAATGATAGCCATGCTGAGGTCATAGCCAGAAGGAGTTTCCAAAGGTAAAGTCACGTCTCCAGAGAATCTGATTTAGCCAGGGTTGGGGGCCCCAGAATTTGCACTTCTAATAAGCTCCCAGCAAAACTGATTATGTTATTTAGCCTGTGAACTAAACTTTGACTAACACTGGTCTATACAGTGGGTCTCATGCTTGAGTGTACATCAGAATCACCTAAAGGGTTTGTTAAAATCCAAATTGCTGGGCCCACCCCCAGAGATTCTGAATCAGCAGGTCAAAAGTGGAGTCTGAGAAGTTGCTCTTTCTTTCTTTCTTTCTTCCTTTCTTTCTTTCTGACGTTGCATTTCTAACAAATTCCAGATGATGCTTATGCAGCCAGTTCAAGGACCACACTTTGAGAATCACTGGTCTAGATTTCTCATAATTCCAAATAACTATCAGTTCCATTGGTCATTAGTAGATCTTTCTTCCTTAGTAATTACCCAGCCAGTCTTCCCTGTTACCACAGAGATTGGTATTCTTTTTGATATCCTCCTGCACCCATTAGGTACCTTCTCCATCAGCTTCACTTGGCAGCCACCTTGAAGGAGGATAGCATCTTTATCCCAGGAACTCAGAGAGGACTGTGGAAACTCAGACCAGACCTTTCGTTTTTATTTTTCTCCAGCCATACGCCCTGTAAGTATATTCAAGCCTTTGGATTAATGTTGCATTGTCTACTTCCTTCTGTTCATCTTATCTGTAGATATGTTTCTCAAAAAAAGCACTTCTAGCTGAAGTGTAGCTACAACCAACAGCAGTGCCTTTTTTGTGAATAGACCAGTGTGCCTAACCATTTCTCTGCCAAGAAAAGGCAGGGGGCGGGGGTATTGGGGCAGGGGTACTCACATCTCATTTTCTAATCAGGACTGGGGAACCTAAAGCTGAAACCCCACCAGGTCTGAAACCAACAATAAGGCTTAGAAGTACAAACTTATTTCATTCACTCACTCACTCATTCATTCATGCATTAAACAAATATTTTCTATTTGTCAGCGACAGTATGACACACTGGGTACATAGCAGTGAATAAGACTAGCCCCTTACTTACTCTCATAGTCTTTTAGGGATTGTTGACAATCATGGTTAGTTAAGGTAAATCTTGGTGAGTTACTGGAGGATGTTCAGGTGCTGGGGTTGCATTAGGCAGGAAGACCAAACCTGGCCTACAGAGAGTCATTTCTATTCTGTTTTCTGTCTTGAAAATTAAGAATAATTTCTGCCCTTTGTAGGCAACAACTCGGGGATGGCAGTCCTCACCGTAAAAGCTTTGAAATAAGGATGTAAGATTATTCTCTGTGTGTTACTTTAAGAGTAACACATGTAATTAGAGCAAAGATGGGTAATCACTCTAAGAGACAGAATAGCTCTCAAGACCTGATCATAACTCAAATAAAAAGTAGAATTTAAGAAAGAATGAGTTGATTGAAAAAGAGTTGGTTAAGAGTCAAAGGCCAGAAAAATGATGGGGCTCATCCATGCTGTTCTTAACAGTGGGTACTCTGGTCCTAGGACCAAAGGACGTTTCCTAACTCAGTGCTTCTCAAACTGTAATATGCATATGAATCACCCAGGAATCTTGCTAAAATGCAGATTTAAATTCTGGGGTGGAGCCTGAGGTTCTACATTTCTAATCAACTCATGGTTGATGCCAGTGGTGTTGGTCTATGGATCACACTTTGAATAGCCAGGGTCTGGCTGATTCTAGTAGAGAATCAGATGCATCTGGGGATCAAGCTAGTCCGACCACCTAATCAAATGACATAAATCAGTGTCCGCAGGTTGGTACTGCTCTGTGAGTGTACAGATCTATGAGAAAAATCAGAACTATGTAGTGAGTTTTTCAAAAAGCTAATTTCTTTCCATTTAAAGGTTATAAGATTTTAATCTTTTTTAAATAGCAGTACTATAATTAGGATCCTTAAAGACCTTACTTGATGAAATAAAAAGTTGATCGCCTTCTGTTAATCTTAAAATCTTCTGGAAATTTTACTGGTCTGTGAAATAAAAATCTAGAGCCACTAATCTAACTCCCTGGCTCATTTAAAAAATATTTTTATCCAAAAACGTAAGAGAAAATCTAGTAAGGCACAGAGGTAGAAGTGAACAGTAGAAGAAATGGGCTCAGGAATTAATGGGGCAGGGGAAGCTGCCTGCGTGTTCCCTGGAGGGAGGGCTCTAAAAAAATTTTTAAATGTGATGTCCACCCAGGGTTTGTCTGCAGAAAGAAAGAACACTACCTAGAGTATGTGACTATTTGGCTCTCTTGGCATTTATTCCTCATTATTAATTGATAATTTGGTGCATGGGTTAGTTACTTCAGACTCTTATTTATGAGTTTTATTAGCATGAGTCAGCCTCTCGAGTTCAGGCATCTGTCAAGATCAAATCTCTGAGCCTCAGAGTGGGAGGTGAGCCCTGATGAATTCTCCAAAGTCACTGTCACCTTATGAGATCTCTGGAAATCTGCCAGCCAGCCTCTCTGGCAACACGCCCACTAATGCATCTCTTGCCTTTCCCACTCTTGGGTTTTAAGGCTACAGATGTATTACTCACACGCTTTAGAAAAGCACCACATTAGGTTAGTGTTTGAAGAAGTAGCTCCCTTCTCAAAAGCTGTGCTCTTTCTTTTTTCCTTTATTGATTAAGGTATTGCATATGTGTATTTATTCCCCCATTGCCCTCGACCCCCGCGCTCATGCCCTCACCCCCCTGGTGTCTGTGTCCATTGGTTAGGCTTATATGCATGCATACAATTCCTTTGCTTGATCTCTCTCCCTTACCCCCACCCTCCCCTACCTTCCCTCTGAGGTTTGACGGTCTGATCGATGCTTCTCTGTCTCTGGATCTGTTTTTGTTCATCAGTTTATGTTGTTCATTATATTCCACAAATGAGTGAGATCATGTGATATTTATCTTTCTCTGACTGGCTTATTTCGCTTAGCATAATGCTCTCCAGTTCCATCCATGCTGTTGCAAATGTTAAGAATTCCTTCTATTTTACCGAAGCGTAGTATTCCATTGTGTCGATGTACCACAGTTTTTTAATCCACTCATCTGCTGATGGACACTTAGGCTGTTTCCAAATCTTAGCTATTGTAAATTGTGATGCGATGAACATAGGGGTGCACATATCCTTTCTGATTGGTGTTTCTAGTTTCTTGGGGTATATTCCTAGAAGTGGGATCACTGGGTCAAATGGGAGTTCCATTTTTAGTTTTTTGAGGAAACTCCATAAAAACTCCACAGTGGCTGCACCAGTCTGCATTCCCACCAGCAGTGCACGAGGGTTCGTTTTTCTCCGCATCCTCGCCAGCACTTGTCATGTGTTGATGTTAGCCATTCTGACAGGTGAGATGGTAGCACATTGTCATTTTGATTTGCATCTCTCCGAGTGCTCTTTACTAATCTGTTTTTGTTTTCTTTTCTATTCCCTGTAAGCACAGAGTAGGTCATAAATCCCTAAACCAGTACAGGGAAACACCAGCTGTGTAATGTACTGCAGAGTTTTTACTCTGAGGATATCCACATACATCTCCAAGATGGGAAAACTGTAAGCATTGTTTGCCAAACTTATTTAACCGTGAAATCAGCCACCCACTTTTGTTTTTCAAGACATCTTGTGGGATAACATTTTACAAAATGCACTTGGGAAACTGCTCATTCTAAACAAATGGTTCTCAGCTTAGGACTATTTTGTTCCCCAGGAGACATTTAACAACATCTGGAGACATTTTTTCTTTAAATATATTTTATTGATTTTTTACAGAGAGGAAGGGAGAGGGATAGAGAGCTAGAAACATCAATGAGAGAGAGACATTGATCAGCTGCCTCCTGCACACCCCCCACTGGGGATGTGCCCGCAACCAAGGTACATGCCCCTGACCAGAATCGAACCTGGGACCCCTCAGTCCTCAGGCCAACGCTCTATCCACTGAGCCAAACCAGTCAGGGCTGGAGACATTTTTGATAGTCAAACTAGGGAACTCTAATAAGTGGACACCAGGGAAGTTGCTAAACATCCTACAATGTACAGGACAGACCCCACAGCATAGAATTACCTGACCCAAAATGTCAGTAATGTGGAGGTTGAGAAACCCTGGTCTAAAACTAGTGTTGCCCTAGCCGGTTTGGCTCAGTGGATAGAGAGTCGGCCTGCAGACTGAAGGGTCCCAGGTTTGATTCTGGTCAAGGGCACATGCTTGGGTTTCGGGCTCAATCCCCAGTAGGAGGCGTGCAGGAGGCAGCCAATCAATGATTCTCTCTCATTATTGATGTTTCTGTCTCTCTCCCTTTCTCTCTGAAATATATTAAAACTAGTGTTTCCCAGCCTAAGTGCCCATCAGTAGATGAATGGATTAGAAAACTGTGGTACATCTACATGATGGAATACTATGCTGCTGTAAAAAAGAAGGAATTCTTACCATTTGCAACAGCATGGATGGAACTGGAGAGGATTATGCTAAGTGAAATAAGCCAGTCAATGAAGGAAAAATACCACATGATCTCACTCATTCATGGATAATAAAGACCATTACAAACTTTTGAACAATAATAGATACAGAGGCAGAGCTGCCTCAAACTGATTGTCAAACTGCAGCGGGAAGGCCAGAGAGGGTTGGGGGGCAGAAGGGAGGGGAGTAAGAGATCAACCGAAGGACTTGTATGCATGCATATAAGCATAACTAATGGACATAAGACACTGGGGGGTAAGGGAGGGCAGGGGATTGTCAAGGGGGGGGGAAGGACACATATGTAATACCCTTTGTAATACTTGGGGGTAGGAGAGGCCAGGGGATTGTCAAGGGCAGGAAAAAAAGGAGACATATGTAATACTCTTTGTAATACTTTAAGCAATAAAACAATTATAAAAATAAATAAATAAATAAAAATAAAACTAGCGTTTCCAAAACTTCCTGTGATAAGAGTTCCCTGGGATCTTTGTTAAAATATTCAGTTTTCCAGACCCCTCCCCTCCAGAGATTATAACTCACTGAGTCTAGGAGAGGTTCAGGATCATCAACAAGAGGATTCGTAGTAGGCAAATATGGGCAACTGTTCTTAATTCATCTCAGGTCAGCTGGGAGAATAATATTGAGCTTTGTTTAAAGTAGTGGTTCTCAAAGTTGAGTTTGCATCCGAATCATCTGGAGAGTTCATTAATGTACAGACTGCTAGATACACCTCCAGAGTTTCTGATGTAGCAGGTCTACTCTGGGTCCCAAAAATTTGCATTTCTAACAAGTTCCTAAGATATGCTGCTGTGGCTTGTGGCACTTTGAGAACCACTGGTTTAAGGGGTTTCTTCTCCTGTAGGTGGGGATGCCTCTATCATCCCAATGCTCGAGTTTGAAGATCAGCCTTGCTATCCTGTCAATAGAGATTGGGCCCATAACCCATCAATGGAAGCCAGTGGTAACCTGGAAGCTACTGAAGATGAAAGGAAATGTGAAGACTCAGACAGTCCCGTGACCAAAAAAAATGAGGCTTGAGCCCGGAACTCCTGACAGAAAAGTCACCAACGGTGTGGCTCACCATCAGAGTTTTGGCAATCAGGGAAGTGGCCCAGTCCCCCCAAGTGTCAGCTGCTCTAATGTCTCCTCAGAGGAACTGGCCACTGTCACTGGGATGGCCCCCAGTGGTGCCAAAGTGGTGGATGTTTATAGGACAGGAGCCAAGTGTGTGTCTGGCGAAGTTGGAGACTCGGGGAAGCCTGGTGTTGCGTATCACCGGGTAGGGCTGCTCCGAGTGAAGCCAGGCCGGGGAGACAGGACTTGCTCCATGTCCTGCAGCGACAAGTTGGCACGGTGGAATGTCCTCGGATGCCAGGGGTCACTGTTGATGCACTTCATAGAAGAGCCTGTCTACCTGTCAGCTGTGGTCATCGGGAAGTGCCCATACAGCCAGGAAGCCATGCAGAGAGCACTAATTAGGAGGTGAGAGGGCAGGGAGGGAGGGCTCCAAACATTTAGCTTTGTGGGTCATCATTTTTTTTTAAATATCCTTTTTAAAAATATATATATTTTATTGACTTTTTACAGAGAGGAACGGAGAGGGATAGAGAGTTAGAAACATTGATGAGAGAGAAACATCGACTAGCTGCCTCCTGCACACTCCCTACTGGGTATGTACCCGCAACCAAGGTACATGCTTTTGACCAGAATCGAACCTGGGACGCTTGAGTCCGCAGGCCATAGCTCTATCCGCTGAGCCAAACTGGTTAGGGCAGTGTCGTCATTTTTTAAAAAGAAAAGGAAATCACTAAAATGGCCAGCAATAGATCAAGTGTTTTCTGTTAAGACTTCAGTTGAGGAAATTTAATATGGTAAGATGCACATAATGTTTAAAGAACAATTCAGGCCAGGCCGGCGTGGCTCGGTGGTTGAGCGTCAACCTAGGAACCAGCAGGTCGTGGTTCGATTCCTGGTCACGGCACATGCCCGGGTTGCTGGCTCAATCCCCAGTGTGGGACATGCAGGAGGCAGCTGATCAATGGTTCTCACTCATCAATGATGTTTCTATCTTCCTCTCTCTCTCTCCCTCTCTGAAATCAATAAAAATATATTTAAAAAATAAATAAAAAAGAACAATTCAGAAGATAAAGTAAATTCATTTTGGTCTTAAAGTATATATGCCTATAGAAAAAGATTATAGGAAGATGTACACAAAGGTATTAATATTTATTACCACTGAGATGTGGTATTGTTGGTAGTTTTTTCTTTGTGATTATTGTATTTTCTCATTTTCTACACTGTACATATATTGCTGTTAAATTTTTTAAAAACCTTCAAACATTAGTGTTAATTTTTAAAAAGGTAAATGACAAAGGATGACCACTCAAGTGTGGTCTCCCTAAAGAAGGCAGCTAAAGCCAGTGAATGCTGTAGTAACTGAGGGCAGGATGAAGCCATGGCCAGGGGAAGGCCTGTGTCAAATGGCCTTTGCCCCCCACCGAGACACAGGGGTGGTGATGTGGTCCACAGCCCTGGATACTCTCTTTCTCAAGGAGTATGCCTAAACAGTGCATTTTCCCTCACGTTTAGGTGTCAGAATGTCTCCTCTTTACCCAAAGGCTTTGGAGTTCAAGAAGTAAAAATACAGCAGTCGGATTTACTGTTTGAGCAGAGCCGCTGTGCAGTGCAGGCAAAAAGGGCTGACCGTCCAGGGCGACTTGTTCCTTGTGGAGCAGGTAAGGGATCCAGGTTCCACGTGCCCTGGAGTAACTTGTCCCCAGTCCATGGAGTGGCTTGGGGTGGGCTGCATCCTCTCGGCCTGGGGAGGCTGTTTACCATGCACAAGGTCAGTAGTGTGGACTTTGGAGACACCCACACTGTCAGGTTCCTGCTCTCTGTGACCCTGGGAAACCTACTTATCCTCTTTCAGCCTCAATTTCCTCATCTTTAGATAAGAATATAATTTATTTATCAGGGTTGTTATGAGGATTAAATGAGAAATTCTGTTTCATTCATTTACTGTGTGTTTAGCATATAATAAATGCTCAGTGATAGTTGTTATGATGATGATGAGGAGGAGGAGGATTAATTATGAACCACTTGTACTCTGGAAGCCAAGGGTCAGAGTGACAGTCATTATGTCTGACGTTATATCTAACTCTCATGGGTCTGCAGAGGCAGGAAAATATTTTTTTTAATATATTTTTATTGAATTTTTACAGAGAGGAAGGGAGAGGGATAGAGAGTTAGAAACATCGATCAGCTGCCTCCTGCACACTCCCCACTGGGGATATGCCCGCAACCAAGGTACATGCCCTTGACCAGAATCGAACCTGGGACCCTTTAGTCCGCAGGCCGACACTCTATCCACTGAGCCAAACCGGTTAGGGCCAGGGAAATATTTTTATCAAAACACTTCTGGGGTTTATAGAAAACTGAACAGTTTTAACTCTAGAATCTTATCTTTTCACAGCCATCAGCTGGAGTGCAGTTCCTGAGCAGCCATTGGATGTCACTGCCAATGGCTTTCCACAGGGAACAACAAAGAAAGGAATCAGAAGCCTTCAGGCCAGGTACAGCACATTGGGACAGAAGGAGATGGTGGCTGTGTACTTATACCACACCACTAATTCCAGAACATTTCATCATCCCAAAAAGAAAACCCCATAACCATTAACGGTCACTCCCCACACTTCCCTCTCCCCACTTCTGGCAGCCCCTGATTTCCATTCTGTCTCCACAGATTTATCTATTCTAGATGTGTCACATAAATAGTATCATACATCATGTGGCCTTTTATGTCTAACTTAATTCACTTAGCATTAGCCTGAGGGTGGGAGGGGTTGTGGGGGAGTGGCCTCTCCGCCACAATCTGGGTTGAGCTGTGAAATTGAATTTCACAGGTGGATTTTTTTTGACATGTTTATTTGTCTGATTCAACACAAACAATAACTAATTACACCTTATTAGACTTTAAAAAAAGGTTCATTCTTCACAGCCATTAACCAGCTTTTAAATGGCCTAGACAACAGACTTGGCCTGTCCCTGGTGGCCTAGGATGTTGACTTGAGCAATGTTTACAAAACTGTTGTGGGTAGAGATTTTTGGAGTTTTCCCCCAAGAGCCTTCCTGGCTTCAGGCCACCATTGTCAGCACCTCTCAGGGGACAAAGCAGGTCATGAGGGACAGGAACCACATGTTTCCTGCTGAGTCTTGGTGAGGGGCTAGCAGCAGCTCTTTCTGGCCCCACCCGCCTGACTGTGGTTTAGGTTTGCTACTTTGCTTAAGTCTAAAATGCTCTTCTTCACTGTGAATGCACACCCTCTTTTACTTTAAACGTTCAGCTCAACCACCACTGCCTTCTGGCTCAAAATGATCATCTTTTCTCTAAATTCCCATAGTAGTGTTCTCCAGCTTCTCCCAACACGTGATTGATTTCTGTGTGATTGGGAGTGTCTCCTGTTCCCACCTTGCTCTGTCTCTAGTTATCCAGGTGACTTTGAACAAGCCCCCCTGCCCTCTGGGCCTCAGTGTGTTCATATCTGTAAAACGAGGACATTGGAATAGATGATCTGAGGTCTTTGACACATTGTCTCTCTGCACTTAGAAGGCAAACTCCACACAGGGAGGAAGTATATGGTCAGAAAAGCAGGCGCTTTGTACTTCCTGGCTCCCTTTCTTCCTGGTTGTGTGAACTTGGAAAGATTACTCTGGCCTAGGTGCTTCCATTTTCCAAACAGTGAAGCAAGGGTAACTAAGAGTATGCATTGCACAGGCATGTTGTGAAAATTGAAGGAAAGGATGCCTCTAACATGGTGCAGGGCTTGCAGTAGACATCTTGTTAAGATGGATTTCCCGTTCATTTGTCAAATAAAGCTTCATATTATTTGTGAAAGAGTCAGTTTTATTCTAAAGACCAGCAGCTGCTGGGGAAAAAGCAGGTTTTCTCATTGCTGATGTTTCTCTCTCATTGATGTTTCTAACTCGCTATCCCTCTCCCTCTCCCTTCCTCTCTGTAAAAAAAATCAATAAAATATATTAAAAAAAAAAAAAAGAACTATAGGAATAGGAACTCAGACTAGGACAATATACTAGTGCAACACTAAAGGAACTATTTTATTTAAATCTTCATGTTTTCATTTGTTTTTTTACCAACAATGAGATAACGGGACCCTCATTTTTGAGAAGCTTTATTTTATCCTGCTTCTTACAGGCAAATTCCTTTGCCCTAAAGTGGAAAATTCTCTTCCCCTCCCTGTCCAGATAACAAGCATCCCAAAGAATTATTATGTAGCTCATTGGATTATAAAAGAAAAGACTGAGGGATTACAAAATAAATTTATATCTATTTGTTACTCTCTGCTGCAATCAGTGTTTGTATCCAGCAACTTGTGCTAACACTTATTATACTATTATTTTATTTAGGAATTCCTTTGGAATTTTTTAAAATTTTATTGCATTTGAGAGAGAGAGAAACATTGATTTGTTGTTCCACTTATTGAAGAATTTATGGGTTGCTTCTTATATGTGCCCTGACTGGAGATTGAACCCCAAATTTTGGCATATCAGGACAATGTTCTAACCAACTGAGCTACCTGGCCAGGGCCTAGAATTTTTTAATATAGATAATCTTTTGCAAGTAGCATTTCCTCTCTAATCCTCCATTTCTTTCATTTTTTTGACTTACTGTGCTGGCTAGAACTGACAACATCACACTCATCTGCAAATAAAGGCTTTGGTTTTTGCTTTTCTTTTTTAATATTATTATTTATTTCAGAGAGGAAGGGAGAGGGAGAGAGAGATAGAAACATCAATGATGCGAGAGAATCATTGATTGGCTGCCTCCTATACACCCTCTACTGGGGATCGAGCCCGCAACCTGGGCATGTGCCCTTGACTAGAATCGAACGTGGGACCCTTCAGTCTGCAGGCCGATGCTCTATCCACTGAACCAAACCAACTAGAGCTAGTTTTTGCTTTTCAATCCTTATTCCTTTTATTTCTTGGCTTACTGTACGGAACCTTTGTATAATGTTAGATAAAAGCAGTGATGACAAGTACTCTTGTCTTATTCCTGATTTTAAGGACATATATTTGCTGTAGGTTTTTATAGATACCCTGCATGAATTTCAATACCTTTTTTAGTTCTCATTTGTAAAAGGTTTTAAGTCATTTGATGGATGTTGAATTCTAACAAATGCTTTTTCTGCATACATTTTCCTCATAGTTATATTACTTTTCTCCTCTAATCTGTTAATGAGGTGAGTTCCATTATTTTTTTGGCTTTGGAGGGTTTTTTTTAATGTTAAAGCAGCTTTATATTCCTGAGTGCCAATAGCCACTTACCACAATTAAGGCCCAGGGAAAGCAGCCTGTGAGGGCTCAAGGTTCTGCTTTAAGCCATGATTCTTTTCAGTAGGCCAGGTCCCAGCCAGGTAAGGGAGTCTCTTGACAGATTGTACAATCCCCTATATCATATGTTCCAATATGGCCACTGTCCAAGCTGATGGTGCCATTTGTGGAAACAGTGGAGGATACGGTGTGTAGACACGAGACACACATTGTGGGCACACGCAACAGTTCCCAACTTCTAAATCAGCTCATGAATTGTGTTTATGAGGGAAAGGAAGGAGGTACATACAGTCTAGGACACACCGACGTGGATGGGCCAAACCAAGAAGCCCCAGGTGAGCTGGTAAGGAATCCACACTCACTTCCTTCACTGTTCAAATGATGACCTCCCTAAAGCTTGATGTTAGAAGCAATGGGTTGGCCTGCAATGGCTCGTGTGCCCAAAGGGAGAGTCTGGAGACTGCCTCAGATGGCTCATCCAAGTGGACTCCATACAAGGAGCAGCACTCAAGGTTCTGAAACAAAGCTTTTAATTTCTTGTAAACAGTGTTACCCAAGGGGCCAGCTTTCTTGAAAGGAGGTAGCCAATGTGTTCTGGGGGGAATTTGGTAATTTCACCTCTGCCTTTACCCCATTTGAACCTGTCCCTTGATGATTTCACTGCTGGTGACATTTCTAAAGATGAGATTCATTTTTGTGCCTCAACCTAATCAAAGCCTCAGGTCTAGATTTTCTCCTTGCCAGTACAGGTGAAATGGGGCTCTGGCACATGGAAACCTAAATACCATGTGAAGCCTCGCATCTTTGATAGGGATCTGATACGTAGCAAACACTTAATGAGTCCTTTTTGTCTTTTTCCAAACAGATCTCGAATCAGCAAAGTGGAACTCTTTAGATCATTCCAGGAGCTGCTAAGCAGTATTTCAGAGGACAAGTGGCCAGACTCCCTCAGGTAACACTATTGACCCATGTTTTTTCATAGTTAGGAAGACTTCTGGTTTCGCACTGGCTCATGCGTAGCAGGAAGCTTTAGCAGGAGTGGTGTTTCCATAGGCCAGTGGGTGCTCATTGCTGACCACATGCTCTTCCATCCTGTCCCCATGGCCCTGCTTGTAGATCCGTGTATGATCTGAGGTATGGAGGATGGGTGGTTTGTGGTACAAACGTTTTCAGTTATCAGACAATAACTACCTAGAGTTAGGCAAAACTTCACAGAATAAGGGCACTGCCCTCACAAACTGCCCTCACCTCAGATGCTAGCCACAAGCTCAGGGGCCCCAAGGCACTCATACTTCTGACCCACTGACTACAAACCCGGGGGGTTGCCACTCATGTTTAATAATTCACCAGAACAACTGATAGGAAAGCACCGTAGTTACAATTACCTTTCACCTTTTAAAAAATACCAGTTAGGCCCTAGCTGGTTTGGCTCAGTGGATAGAGCATTGCCTGCGGCCTGAAGGGTCCCAGATTCCATTCTGGTCAGGGCACATGCCCGGGTTGTGGGCTTGATCCCCAGTCATGGGAGGCAACTGATCAGTGATTCTCTCACATCATTGATGTTTCTATCTCTTTCTCCCTCTCCCTTCCTCTCTGAAATCAATAAAAATATATTGGGGGGGGGGGGGGCGGAGATATGAGTTAAGACCAGCTAAAAGAAGGGACACATATGGCGAGGTCTGGGAGAGCCCCAAACTTGATGTTTGCACGTCCCAAGGATGCATCACCCTTTCAGCACCAACCAAGAAGCTGACCTGCGCTTCAGGGTCCAGATTTATTGGGTTTTTATTAATAAGAATGGTTGATTGACTCATAGTTCACATGATATGATTGAACTCAGTCTTCGTCTCCTCCTCCCACCCTAGGAGGCTATAGTGGTATCAGGTGTCTCAGTACTCCAATTCTCTCATCTCCTGGTTGGTCTTTCTGGTATGGCCAGCCCCATTCTGAAACTCTAGGGCCCACCATGAGTTACCTTGTTAAACATAAACTTAGGTGTGATCTCAGGGTTCACCATGAATAACAAAAACAGTCCTATCACTGGGGAAATTCTAAGGATTTAGAGGTTCCCATTTAGGAACTGGCAACAAAGACCAGCCAAAATCTTTATTATATAACAGTAGGGAAGCAGCAGAGTAGCCAGAAACTTCAATATGAAGAGGCTAGCCACCGTTATCACCATCATCCATACTGTGGTCAGTATTGATGCCCTTCAGTCTTTGGTGGTCAGTTTCTTTTTGTTTCTTGTCTGGAAGAATGAATCAAGCTGGAACTGGGTGGGTTTCCATACATTCTTGTGTTAAAAACAAATCTGGACTTAGGTAAGGAGAGACTTTACTCAGAAGGATTATTGCGTAAGAGAAGGGGTCTGTTACAGTAGGAGGTCTAATGCAGTGGCAAGAACACTCCAGTCATAAGCTTTGTAAGCCTCTCAAAGGGCAGATGGAAAGGGGGTTTCTTTTATATGGAGGGGTGTGCAAGACTAAACAGAACCTGGAATGGGGGAGTGGGATGAGCAGGTGGTGTGATGGGACAGTTGAACAGGAAATGTCTTCTCTTGCTGTCAGTCAATTCTCAGGAGGGGCTGTTAAGGGGTGGTTATACATTCTGGTGCTGTCTCAGGTTGAGGTTGGATCAAAGTTCTGGGGCCTGGGCTAATGAGAGAAGTGTAAGTAATATTTGGTCAAGTTACCAGGTATTTTGTCAAGATTGGTCAGTGGTTTCAGCTAATCATTATGAGGCAAAGAGTGGGAATTTGATGTGTCTGTGTCTGGCCTGTCATAGGTAACCCAGGGGGGCATCCATGAGTCTTATCTAAGTCATGGGAAAAGGCAGTTCTTTGCAATCAGCCATTTCCCAGGACACAGAAGGATGGGAGGGAGATTTCTTAACCATCGCTGTGTTTTAGAAACTCGGAGCTTAGGTAAAGTTTAACATTGTCATGTGTGTAGATCCCACCCTTTAACCAACAAAAAGCTGTAGGAAATTGATCAAACAACTGAAATCAATTTTTGCTGCAGTTAGCAACTTTGCCCTGCTGAAGTGAGCTAAGATACAACTTAGAAGCAGGGCAAATTGGATCAATAAGACACGAGTATCAGTTTCTTCAACTATAAGATGCAAGGACAGAGCTCAAGGTCCAAGTTGAGAAAAGGGCTCAGAGGAGCCTGACTCAGATTTGGTCAAAGGAGAGAAGAGTCTGTCACAAGAAAATCTCTTAACAGGATATAAGTATTACAAATACTACTCAACATGGCCATTTTTTAGCAGGCAGAGACGACTAAGGGATTGGGAGGGATGCTGTTGGCTGGTATAGGAGAGTATGGGTAAAATGGAAAGTGCTTTGCTTTGTTAGGGAAAATGTAGCCAAGAGGTTTCTAATGGCTGTATGCTCTGGTGGAAATTACAGACACTTAGGAAACTTTAAACCAAAAATATAATAGTTATTCTTGTTTTATCTGATTTCACCAGGACCAGACAAAGCTAGCATTCTGTTTAGTCTTGCCTGTTTTGTTTTGTTTTTTAATTTTTTTTTTTTATTGATTTCAGAGAGGAAGAGGGAGAGAGAGATATAAACATCAATGATGAGAGAGAATCATTGATTGCCTCCTGCACGCCCCACACCAGGGATGAGCCCACAGTCTAGGTATATGCCTGACCAGGGATCGAACTGTGACCTCCTGGTTCAAAGGTCAGTGGTCAACCACTGAGCCACACTGGCTGGGCAGTTTTTTTTGGGGGGGGGGGTTTAAAAAAATTGATTTTGGAGAGAGGACGGGGAGAGAGAGAGAAAGAAACACCGATTAGTTGCCTCCTGCACATGCCCCGACAAGGGCCAGGGATTGAATTTGCAACCTGGGTTTGTGCCCTCAACACCTTTTGGTGTATGGGACGATGCTCCAAGCAGCTGAGCCACACGAACAAGGTCTCATTCTTGCCTGTTTTAATCCATGTTACTTTGTAGTGGATTTCTTACAAAGGAGCCAGAGTCTCTCTAGGAAAGCATACTAAGATTATCCTGTTCCTAAGTCTCTTGTAGTAAATCTGAACAGTTGATTGATCAGGTGTCTTGTTGGCCATAGTGGTGAGCTGTTCAATGAGAACCTGTGTGCTTGGTGGTTATGTGTGCATTAGGGTGCAGAAGCTAGAAACATACCAGGAGTACAAGGAGGCTGCATCTGCTTACCAGGAAGCCTGGAGCGCACTCCGGAAGCAGGCATTTGGGTCCTGGATCAGAAACCCCCCGGATTACCACCAGTTTAAAGGAGAAGAGAAAGTCTGCAACGAGCTTACTGGTAGCAGGGTATTTTCCAGCCCTTCATGCTGGACCATATTTTTCCCTTTGTACCTGGATAAGCCTTAGCTTTTCTTGAGGCTGAATGAAGACAAAAGTCTGCCTTCTACCAGAGCCACATATCTCTTCTGTGCAAGAGGGATGGAACAATCTATACTTGACTGAAGCAGCTGTCTGCTAAAATGGAATCTCGCTAATGACCTTCGTATCTACCTGTCCTGACTTGTTTTTTATTGCTTCTCTAAAATATGGACTAAGAATTTGAAATACTACGACACTTTAAAAGTGATGCTCTGCTTTGTATTCCTACATTAATTCAGCAGATGTATTGTGCTGAGATGATGTTTTAATCTCTGCAAGTTCTAGAGCTGTGCCTCGCATAGTGGACGTATATTTCGTATACCCAGCCTTTCTTCCTTCGGAGAGCCACCCTTTCCTGCTCAGTGGGAAACTCTATACAACCATGAGACTTGGTTGAAGCAAACCTTGTTCCTGGCTCCAGGAATGTGAGCTAGCCCTGGACAGTCCTGGAACTATTGCCAGAGCTATCAGGAAAGATTCTCTCCCCTCTTGTATCAGGAGCTGTAAGGGCCACAGAATCTTGGAACTTGCCCTTCACATAAAGACAGCCAGCTAGAGAATTAAGGCAACAAAGAATGAAACAGCCAAGAAAATCAAAGCTCTGGTGACCTTGTTTGGATGCCTGAAGCTAGTGCCCACGGTGGACTTCAATTATGTGAGATAAATTCCTATTGTTTTGAGCAGGCCTAGCTGATCCCAGAGAGACTGCTCCTCCCAGGACTAGCCTGTCCCTGCAGATAGTAAGACTCATCTGGAATAAGCTACATAAAATATTTTGTATTTTTGCCAATAAATTTAGAAGTGGGATTTGCTGAATCAAAGGGTAAATGAACATATAATTTTGCTTTACTTAAATATATCTTCAAAATTTTGTTAATAAGTATGAGTGCAAAAAATAAAGCAAAATGCAAGACAGCATTATAACATTTCATTTGTATATATATATTTAAAAACAAAACAAAACACGATGAGCCCTAGCTGGTTTGGCTCAGTGGATAGGGTGTCAGCCTGTGGATCGAAGGGTCCCAAGTTCGATTCCGGTCAAGGGCACATGCCCAGATTGCAGGCTCCATCCCTAGTGGGGGACATGCAGGAGGCAGCCAATCAATGGTTCTCTCTCATCATTAATGTTTCTATCTCTCCCTCTCCCTTTCTCTCTGAAATCAATAAAAATATATTTTTTTATAAAGAACGATGGAAGTTATATATCTGTTTTGTTTGTATATGCTAAACTATCTCTGAATAGACAGATACACAAGAAACCACTAACACAGGCTATGGGGAAGGAGAGGGAGTGGCTGGGGCCCAAGAGTGGGAGGGACACTTGTCCCTGAAGACCCTTTATATTTTGTTATTTAAAAAAAAAAAATTGAACCATATTAATATAGTACCTATCTTAAAAATACACTTTTAGAAATTAAAAAAAAATGGAAAAAAGTTTATTTAAACTGTAGGAACACCAGAAAATATTCAGTTATATTGTATAGGAAAGAGGGACTCACCACATGCTTTCGGCAGCTCTGTTTATAATTCCACAGAATTACCTCTTTCCTAACAAAGTGACTTCTGGAATTTGACTCTTTCAGGAGAGTTTACACTTTGGTGTTCTATGTTCACAAGTGGGTTCTAATGTTACGACTGTGTGTGCATCATTTTCTTTTTCTTTAGAATATTAAAAAAAAAAAACTTAGCTTGATTTAATTTTGTGTATATATTCCATGAAGTCATTTCTGCCTCAAACCGCGGGGTTAAGTGCCTTTTTTTTCATGGAGTTTGCCAGTGCCAAGCATTAGCTCACTGTCTGGGGAGATGAATCTGCTGTGGAGAAAATGACCCGGCCTGGCCGCCAGCGCTCCAGGGGGAAGAGAAGCAGGCACCGTCTGCTTTCATCGTGTCTGTGGCTGGCGGGAAGCTGCCTCCACCTGGACCTTGGCAACATTCTTTGGCTTTAAGACAATGTTCTGAGCAAGACTTACTCAAAGTTTTCCAGTTTCTAAAACCCAGTTTCCAGTTTCTAAGTTCCCTTGCTGGCTATTACACTTTCAGCTACCACTGTTCTGGGATGATGTCTGGGGAAGTCAGATGAGCTGTTCAGAGTCCCACTGCAGCAGGAAGGTTACTGACACCAGGAAATGGCCTCCAAGTAGAAAGATAGGGTGCATATGTGCTCACTTTCAAAGGCTCAAGCAATCCTTTCCACAGAAACAAAGGCTGCTATCCTGAGGAATGGTTGGATACAGAAAGAGGCAAGAAGGCAGATGTTTTGGGAGAAAGCAACTGTATGTTCCAGAAAGACGAGTTCTTTTTATACCGCATGTTGAGGAATCATAATTGACCTCCATAACCTATACATGTAAATTCCTTTAAATCTAAATGTGTCTGTACTGGGACAAAGACTGACTTGCTGAAAGGTTTTCCAGATGGATCTAAAACAAAGCTTAAGTAGTACTTGTGGTCCAAAGGGGAGAGCAAAATTCTGCAGAGACACTTCAGGGAAGCAGGCAAAGTTGCATACATTCAATTTTCACTTCTTAAAAGTGGGGCCTCAAACTAATCATAGAAATCAGAACAGTGGTTGTTGCATGGTGGGGGAAGATGGGAGATTGGGGTTGAGTGGGAAAAGGCCCAAGGGAACTTTCTAGGATGATGGAAACATTCTGTTTTGATTAGAGTGCTGACTATATGAGTGTAAAAAATTTCAAACTTTATTTAGCTCTACACTTAACAAGATCTGTGCTTATTGTGTGTAATTCGACCTCAATTTAAAAATTTTAAAAATAAACTAGTCCTTATAGGACTGGATATTCAAGTAATTATGTTCTCATACTAACTCTTGCCACTGCCTGTGTAGATGTAGGGAAAGTGTTTAATCTCTGATTTCTAACCTGTGAGCTGTTCTACAAAATAAGGTCCCAGTTAGTAGGATGCTCAATTTTGTTCAACGGTAAGGTGGGATTTCTCATAAAAATTCTTAATGGGGTAAATAATACAAGAGAAATTTTCTTCAGGAAACTGAGCCCATTGATGCTTTGAGAAACATATGGCCTCAGTAATGTCTGTAACAAGGAAGGGATGGAAGTAATTCTCATCTGAGTTCAGTAACCTGGGTTCTGTATTTGGTGTGGACTTTTTGTGTCTCATCCCAATGAGCCAGCAGGATTTAGAACCAGCTTTTAGAACTAAGCGTGTTCAGCATTGCTTTTCAACCTCCAAGTGCAGGAAAGTGTCTTGATGGGGAAAAGGCAAAGGCAGAAAGTCACTGCAAGTGGGGAGCCAGGCTGCCAAATGTGTCTTGAGCACATGTTCCCTGAACTTGGGCTTGGCTCCAGAGGAGAAGAGCTCACAATGGAAACAGTGATGGCTGTATGCTCAGGCAGCCAAGAGAAAGAAAAGCGCATTGAAACCCTCAATGTCTCCCCGGGGAAAGGCACGGTGGGCCCCTTGGTGGTGAAACCAACCTGACAACAGCCCATTCCCAGCATCTTTCTTCAGTTCAACAACAGGACCTTTATGTGCAATCTCTCAGGAAATCTCTGAGGAATTATACTACGGGCAACCCAAGCTTTGCCCAACAATAAATGCACATAATCTAGTTTGCCCATTTTTGTTGAATTAGATTCTTTTACTTGAGAGAAAGAAGAGCTCTTCTTGATGTATATTCCCCCAGCTACTCCAAGATTTCATCAACTTCCTTTTTTATTGCTGCCACTTGTGAACTGTCCTGACCTCCCGTGAGTTCCTTTTCAGCTGATATTTTTAGGCTGTACTTTTATTCCTCACTTATCCAGTGCCATTGTGAATGCACTTCTATCCTAGCACAGCAGGAACCACTGGGCTGAGAAACCAGCAGGCAGCCGGAGAAACAAGGCCTCAGGGGCTTTTGGCCGTAGCCCTGAGTTTGAATTGTACTCTAGGATGTAAATTGGTTGTGTGATCTTAGGAGGTAACTATATTATCAGAGTGTCAGTGTGCTCGCCTTTGAAATGAGAGCAGCACTACCCCCTGGCAATAGGGCTGTGGGAATGAGATGAGATCATGCACAAGATAGGTATGAGAAGGGCTGCCCACCATGTGTACAGTGCCTGGCACATAGGAAACACCAACCTTGGTCTGTCACTCAGCTCATAAGTGACTCTTCAATTTGCTAGTCCCAATTTCCAGAGCTTATGCTAATAAACATGAGATTGTCTTCAGGAGAAGCATATTGGGCAAATGTTTGTGGAGCCTCTTGCTGCACACCAGGCATGTGTAAGTTTGCCTGCATGCACCTTCTCCATCCCACATCTGGAAGAAACAGCTTGTCTCCAGCTGCTAAGGAGGCAAGGAAGCAAAGCTGTTGATCACAGAGCTATATATAGATCCTCCTATGGAACTCATGGCTCTGCCTCCCACATGTCAACCACCAGGATCTTTTTTTCTCCCTAAGGAAATAAAAGACGAAAAGGGGAACCAATTGTGCTTTTTAAAGCGTTCTACCATTCAGTCTAATTAAAGAGTCTTTTAAGAATAAGAACATAGCTATATTACCTTCTTCTAAATTCTCCTTGAAGGAGATCCTCGGACCACCTTTGGGATTGGTGCCCTGGTGCACAAACCTGCCTCATGCTCTCCAGGTGGCGCGGTGTGTTTCAGCCACTGCTTGCAAAATTAAGATTGCACTAGCACTTGTTAAGTAAGCTCTCAGCTCCAGGTGGACCAGTCATGTCTTCTGAACACCATCAACATGCCAGGCAATGCGCTACACACCTGAGGTACAAGGATAGGGGATAGTTCTCTTGTTGTTCATCGACCAATAGGAAAGAGGTCACAGCCTTTGCAGTGGGACAGTACAATGTCATCTGAGGTCGATACCCAACCTGGGAGAGGAAGCGGCCCAGATATACTTGAGCAAAGAGGTGAAGGGGAAGGATTAGGCAAGTAAAGGGAAATTGTGGTACATATGGAGACAGTTTTGAGGATATCTGAGGTAGAGAAACACCATATGCAAAGGTCAGAGATGAAAGCACACCATGGCTGGGCTGGCAAGTATGGAAGGGGTTGGAGAGATCCTTGGGGCATGTTGGGGAGGACTTTATATACCCTGTGAAAGGGAATGTTCTAGTCCTGACTCAGCATTTCAGGAATTTTTATTTATTTACTTATTTACCTTTTTTGAGAAAAGGTGTTGGGATGGATTTTAAAAAGATTGGTCTCGCCCTAACCGGTTTGGCTCAGTGGATAGAGCGTCAGCCTGCGGACTCAAGGGTCCTGGGTTCGATTCTGGTCAAGGGCATGTACCTTGGTTGCAGGCACATCCCCAGTAGGGGGTGTGCAAGAGGCAGCTGATCGATGTTTCTCTCTCATCGATGTTTCTAACTATCCCTCTCCCTTCCTCTCTGTAAAAAATCAATAAAATATATATTTTTTTAAAAAAAAAGATTGGTCTCTTCTGTAGCAAAGAGGATGGATTGGCAGAAGTGGGGATGATGGCAGGGAGACCATAGTTGGGGGATTACCATAGTAATTAGAAATGACGAGGCCCACCCAGACAATAATGGTTTTAGGAGCCATAGGGAGGGGACTGACTTGAGAAATACACAGAGGCTGGTGAGGCTGATGGCTGACTGCAGTAGGGGATGAGGGAGTATACGTAGAGGATGGCTCCCAGGTTACTGTATGGGTGACAGGATGGAATGTGGTGCCATGTATCAGAAAAGGGGGCAGAGGAAGAGGAGATGGTCTTGCAGGGCAGGAGATGCAGGCAGGGGACAAAGCTGTTTCCAAGTTGAGGATTTCTGTGATATCATGGGATAAGGACCTAGAGTGGGCATTTGGAGGGACTCGGTTTGGGGCTCAGGAGAGAGATGGGCTGGAGATAGAGATTTTGGAGTCTCTATTTATAGGAAGTCTTTGGGGACATGGATTAGAGTAAAATCATCTAGAGAGAATGTGTATAGAATGAAATGGGGACTCTGGATTGAACCCTAAGGAACAGAGTTCAGGAGCAGGTGGAGAAGCAGAGGAAAGCATGTGACCAGAGGCCCAGGGAAAACCAGGAGAAAGCTATCTTAGAGCTTTAAGGAGGGAGTAAAGTATAGAATATATTAAAAGAAAGAGAATCAAGGAAGGTAAGAACAAAGAACCTTATCATCCCCTGCTCCCCTATTGGGAGACAAGGTTATTTTTTGTAACCTCAGCAAATGCAGGGTCAGGGAAGTGGAAGCTAGCCTCCTTGGCTGAGCAGTGAAGGGAAGTGAGAAATGGAGGTACTGTGTGCTCTTTTGAGAAGGACCAATCTCTGTTCTCACTGTGTAACTTAAAAATAAAAAGTTATGAAATATTTCAGACACAATAGAAAAAATTAACACCCACCACACAATTAACAGTAAACATTTTGCTATATTTGCTTCAGGTTTTTACTTTCCAAAGAAGTAAAACATGAGTAGTTGTATTTAAAATCCCACATTTACCCCTCCATGCTACTATTCCCTTCCCTCCATTAGGTAACCTTCATCCTGAATTGCACGGTTTATAGTTCTATTACATAAATTTGCATCTGTAAGCAGTACATATAGTTGTTTTGGATGGCGTTAAACTTTACAGAAATGATATGCTGAATATATGCTGCATCTTGCTTTTTTCATTTGTTGACATATGTAGCGTAAGGACATTCATCTTAACTACTGTATAGGATTCCTTTGTATGACTATGCTGCATACTAAGTCTCCATTCTCCTGTTAATGGACATTCTCCTATTAATGGACAGTTGGTTTCCAATTTTTTGCTCATTCGAACAAGGCTGCAGTGATCACTCTTATACATGGGTAGGGATGTAATTAGGACATGGGTTATCTGGATCTCAACTTCCCTGGATATTGACAAACTGCTCTCCAGTGTGATGGTACTGGTTTACCCTCACAGCAGCAGTTGATAATTCCAGATGCTTCACATACTCCCTGACATTTTAGATGTCGAAACTTTTAATTTGGCCAATTTGATGTGTGTGAAATGATATCCCATAGTTTATTTTCCTTTGCATTTTCACAGGGCCACCAACTGTATAGTGTAAGTTGTATCTTTTAGTGTAGAGTTTGTGCACTGCACAACTCTAGGGGGCGCTGTTCATGTTGTAGTGTTTGTGAAAGGCACACTGTAGAGTTGGTGCAATGTACAGCACATACAGTGGCCTTGAGTGAAGATTTTTGTGTTACCTTTTGCCCATTGTTCTCTTGGGTTGTCTTATTAATTGGAAGAGTTCTTTATTTATTCTGGATATTAATTCTTTTTTGGTTAATATCTGTTACATTTTCACCCAATCTGTGGTTTCCATTAATTTTGTTTATAGTACTTTTTTTATTTTGTTTATAGTACCTTTTTTATGTTCAAATGTTAAAGATTTTTAATGTACTTAAATATATCAATCTTTTCCTTGATCTTCTATATTTTTGTATCTTGTCTAAGAAATCTCTCCTACTCCCAGGTCACAGATAGTCTAATTTTTTAAAATTTTATTTTGAGAGTTTGTTTATTAAAGCTGGGGACAGTGAAACGAGGAAGAGCTTAGGATAGAAGAAGCAACAGGAGAGAGCCTAGGCGGGCTCTCTAGAAACATTATGGGAAAGAAATGAGCCAAGGCAGGGCTCTGTCAGTTCACTAGAGAGGCAGAGTAGAGGGAGACAGGTTCAGGGGGTTAGCCTCAGTCCAGCTGCCACTGCCATTGCTCCCTGGTTGTAAGTCTCATGAGAACCTTAGAGTTTAGGAGAAAGAAAAGTCACTCAAAAAGGAGATTTGAGTAGGCTTGCCCCAGGAGGGCATGCCTTTCTAGATTTTTTTTAAAGTTTTGCTTTTCTTCATTTACATCTTTAATTCACCTTGAATTTATTTTAGGCATATATATTTTTTCATATATATAACTGATTATAGAATCAAATCATGGATTAACTAGTTCATTTCCCTTTGATTTTCATGCCACCACTATTATATTTTAAACATGTATCTGTTTCTGTCTTGTTCTCTGGTTTATTTATCTCTTATGCCATATGGCACAGTCTTAATTACTGCAAATACATGTCTCCCCAGCTCGCCTCAACATTTTTTGGTTATTCTTAGCCGTTTGCTCTTCTAGATGGATTTTAGCATCAATTGTCAGATTCTTGCATTAAACTCAGATTAATCTGGGGGCAATATGCATCTTTACAATATTGGTTGTTCTCATCCTTGAATGTAGTATATTAGTATATCCTATAGGTCTTCTTTTATGTCCTTCAACAATGTCTTATTTTCTCCATGAAGGTCTTGCATATCTTATATTAAATATATTCCTACATGCTTATAGATTTTTCTCCTATTAAGAATGAGATCTATGGCCCTGGACTGGTAGCTCAGTTGGTTGGAGTATCATCCTGATATGCCAAAGTTTCAGGTTCAATCCCATCAGGGCACATTCAAGAATTAACCAATGAATGTGTAAATAAGTGGAACAACAAATTGATGTTTCTCTGTCTCTAAAATCAACTAAAAAAAAACAAAATAATGAGCCCTAGCCAGTTTGGCTCAGTGGATAGAACATTGGCCTGCGGACTGAAGGGTCCCAGGTTCGATTCCGGTCAAGGGCACATGCCCTGGTTGTGGGCTCGATCCCGTGGGGAGTGTGCAAGAGGCAGCTGATGGATGATTCTCTTTCATCATTGATGTTTCTGTCTCTCTCTCTCCCTCTTCCTTACTCTCAAATCAATAAAAATATATTTTAAAAAATGAGATCTTTATTATTTTTCCCAATTGGTTACATCTGGTATGTAGAAACATCATCAGTGTTTGTTTAACTGATCTGGGACCCTGCAACCATGCTGAATTTTGTTCTAATTTTTATAGATTCTTTTGGATTTTTCTATGTAGACTATCACTGTCTGCATATAAGCACATTTAGTCTCCCTTTCTGATTTTTATGCTTCTCTCTTACTTTTCCTCTTTTATTGTATTGGTTTTATGTTAGAACTGTGTTCAGTAAAAGCAATGATTAACTTTTAACAGGTTTATGAGACATAATTCACATACCATAAACTTCATCCTTCAGACTTGTTTCTTTTCTTTAAATGTTAGCTTTGCTTTTCAACATCTTTATTACTTTTTTAATGTTTTTATTAATTTTTAGAGAGAGGAAGTGAGAGAGAGATCTAGAAACATCAATAAGAGAAACATCAATTGGCTGCATCCTGTACACCCCTCACTGGGGATGGAGCCCAAAACCCAGGCATGTGCTCCAACCAGGAGTCGAACCAGTAACCTTTTGGTTCCTGGGTTGATGCTCAACCACTGAGCACACAGGCCGGGCTTTAGTTCCTGTTTTTAATGGGAATGCCTCTAAAGTGTTATAAGTAACCAATTGTAACAGTACCATTTGTATTTGTTGACTGGTTTATCATTCCCCTAATTTGTTATGCCACCTCCGACATATTGGTTTTTTTAAAATGGGTGGTTTGTTTTTTTTTCATTTAGAGAGAAAAGGAGGAGAGAAAGGAAGGGAGAGAAGGAGGGAGAGAGTTGATTGCTCAATAAATGTTAACTATAAATCACTTTTGAAAGAAAAACAGTTAGCTTCAGTAACATTTGCATTTTGATTTTCTTCCCTCTGTTTCTTCTCAGTTGAATTTGTGGGTTTGTGGTTGTGAAACAGAAACAGATCATAAGGCCTTCGGAAAGCTATCCCCTCCCCCATGTCTGTTTAATCCTATTCTGTTCACATGTTTAAGAAGAGGGCACCATTCCCTGCCCACCAGTCCCTCCCCCAAAGCAGGGGGCTGTTTAGTTATTCAAGCAAGTCCAGAATCCTCCAAGGGACTTTTGACATTGTTCTCAGAAGAAATGCTCTTCCTCCTACTGGCGTGGCCAAGCCTATGGGGCCATCTTTGCCATAACATAGAAGCAATCTGCCTGGGAATGAAGTCAACGTAAAGGAAAACAAAACCAAGAGATGGAGTTTTGACGTCATCATTTGATCTCTGGGTCAAGCTATGCCTGAAGTCAGTGAATCATCCTTGACAATTGAAATGGTAAATTGCCTTTTTAGAGCTTAAGCCAGTTTGTTGGGTATTATGTCACTGCCAACAAGATTCCTTGTAACAGAATTGGTTCCTTCCCCTTCACCTGGCTCACTCAGAGGTCAGTTTCTTTTTTTTTTGTTTTTTTTTGTTTCAGAGGTCAGTTTCTGTTTCTAATTTGAAACTACCAGCAAAGAGGACCACATATTTTATTGAATCAGGTGTGGGAAAGACCAACAGGATGCTTATGACAAGAATGTTTCTACTAAACCAAAATAAAGCTCCATCAAGTATAAAACAAATAAAAAATAATAAACATGTTTCTTCTGATCCCAAGTGGGAAGCTGACATCAGTAGAGAGCTTTGATGGGTTGCTTATATAATCTGGTAAAGAAGCAGCTAAAGATCTTTGTTTCTTCCCTGGTAGAAATCTGATAGCCATTTTAACTAAATGTTCTTAGATCGCTGGGTGATACCTGTTTTCTTTAATGTTCTATGTAGAGCTCTAGCCTCCAACACAATCTGTCTGGGAAGATTTAGGAAGTAAGCAAGCATTTCCTATTAATAAATCATGAAACTCATGGACCAGGAAAAATCTAAATTTTCATTTTTTTGAAAAAAGGGATTAAGGAGCAGCACCTTAATAAGTGCAGGTACATATAAAGGCTATATGAATATAGTTATCATTCCAACACTGTATGTAACAGTAAAAGATTGCAAACAACCCAAATACCATTCATAGGGAACTACTTCAGTAATAATCATATACCCACACATTGCAATACTATTTGCTGTAAAAATGAATGAAAGGCTATGGACTGATATGGAAAGATCACCAGGATATATTGTTAAATGAAAAAAAGCAATATACGTAAGTATATAATGTGTTTTCTATAAGAAAAAGAAAATAAGGATATATAGTCATATTTAATTGTACTTCCAAAAATAAATACTAAAAAGAAACAAGAAGCCAGTAAAAGTAGTTTCCCATAGGCAGTAGACAGTGGTGGGAACTCTCAATGTATACTTTTTATAGAGGCTTGATATCTGAACCACCTGAACACATTAACCACTTAAAAAAGTCCCGCCCTAGCTGGTTTGGCTCAGTGGATAGAGCATTGGACTGCAGACTGGAAGGTCCTGGGTTCAATTCTGGTCAAGGGCACATGCTCAGGTTGTGGGCTTGATTCCCAGTAGGAGGCAGCCGATCAACAATACCTCTTTCATCATTGATATTTCTGTCCCTCTCTCCTCTCCCTTCCTCTCTGAAATCAATGAAATATATATATATTTTTTTAATTTTTTTTTTTTAAGTCCCTTCTTATGACAGGCCACTGCTTCCTGTTCCAAGCTGTGCTGCCATGGCCACACAAACCCTCCTCCTGGCCTGGCAGGTGTAAGAGCTACTTGTCTGACTCATGTAAAAGATGGTGAATAAAGTACATGGTCACACTGCAATGCCTTTATAACAGGAAGTTTTATTGTTAATTATTTACCTTAATAGTTTCAGAAAGAGGAACAGATTAGCTCAGTCCAACATGATTGGCAGCTGGCAAAATCTAGTAAAGCAAGTGTTCTGATTGCTAAGGATTTAATTTGAATGCTTTTAATATTTAGCCATCTAACACTTCAAACATAGTCCAGAATAAAATGCATCACCTCCCTCCCTGTCACTTTAATACCCCACCTACCTCACTTCAATATGGAAATATCTTCATTAAATATGATTCCTAGAGGAACAAGTTCTCTGGAGAGTATAGCCATGAGGACAGTGCACAAAAAGAAAAACTCAAAATAAAACTCTGTATGATGACTTACTAGTTTAAGGAAACAAAAACCTTCCAATATATTAAGAAATCAATCCAGTTACAAATGCACTAATAGTTCTATGTGAAGAGGTTCTGGTATAGTAACTGAAAATGGCCGGCTATTTACAAGATACACAAGCAGGTACAGTGCACCTCGCCCAGCACGGGCCCTCAGAAGCCAAACGTGTTCTCTCCACTGTAGGCCACATACAAGAATCCATCTTCATCTTTTTCCTTCTCGTAAAGTTGTCCCATAGTTAGGCTTGAAAGAAAAAAACAAAAAAAACAACATTGAAAATGTATACATAGGCTCTCCCCCCTTTTCAGCATCCATTAATTACTGAACTTTGTAAACTGGCATTGAAACATTACACACAGTTTTGCTGCACCAACTTTATATAAATTTTTACAGTACAATCCATGTTATTTTCTAGAGACAAACCAAAGGTTAATTTCTCAAAGTTCTTGCTGCCTGCTTTAGCAGTATTTAATGGAGAATCTTTCATATACATTTGTAATATTAGAAAAATAAACCAGATTGCAAATCCTTTTTTTAAAATATATTTTTATTGATTTCAGAGAGGAAAGGAGAGGGAGAGAGAGAGATAGAAACATCAATGATGACAGAGAATCATTGATCGGTAGCCTCCTACTGGGGATCGAGCCCACAACCTGGGCATGTGCCCTTGACGGGAATCGAACATGGGACCCTTCAGTCCACAGGCCAACGCTCTATCCACTAAGCCAAACCAACAAGGGCCTAAATCCCTTTTTTTTTTTTAATGCTTAAACCATGTACCAAATTTGTGGTCCAAATCACGTAAAATAAGTTAAACTGCATTCTCTCTCTCTCTCTTTTTTAATATATTCCTTTTTGTGTGTGTGTGTGTGCCCTTGACCGGAATCAACCCCAGGCCCCTTCAGTCCGCAGGCCGACACTGAGCCAAACCCTCCAGGGCTTTAATATATTTATTTATTTCAGAGAGGAAGGGAGAGGACAAGGGCCTAAATCCCTTTTTTTTTTTTAATGCTTAAACCATGTACCAAATTTGTGGTCCAAATCACGTAAAATAAGTTAAACTGCATTCTCTCTCTCTCTCTTTTTTAATATATTCCTTTTTGTGTGTGTGTGTGTGCCCTTGACCGGAATCAAACCCAGGACCCTTCAGTCCGCAGGCCGACACTGAGCCAAACCCTCCAGGGCTTTAATATATTTATTTATTTCAGAGAGGAAGGGAGAGGAAGAAAGAGATAGAAATATCAATGATGAGAGAGAATCATTGATCAGCTGCCTCCTGCATGCCCCCTACTGGGGATCGAGCCCTTAACTCAGGCATGTGCCCTTGGCCGGAATTGAACCCAGGACCCTTCAGTCCGCAGGCCGATGCTCTATCCACTGAACCAACGCAGCTAGGGCTAAACTTCATTCTCTTAACCAATATAACTGTATTTCTGTAAACATAGTGACCTTGAAATAAAGTTTTTAAAAAGAAATACAACATTAAAAATTGGGTTTGATTACTAAGTTTAAGTGTTGGGAGAAAGATTACTTATGGATAAGGAACTTAATACTTAAACTAGCTACTCTCTCCCACAACTTTGGTGGTAGGTGGTTAAAAAGAAATTCAGATCTCATTAATGCTACATTCCTGTTGTAAAGAAGGTAAATGGAGCCACAAAAGATTAAGGTAAATTAGGCCTTTGGGAATCACAAGACTAGAATCAATTCTCCATTCTCCTGCTCCAAGGCAAAGCTATTTGCACTCACCTTTACACAAAGTAAATCCTTCAGAGGCCAGCTCTATCAAGCTCCTTATAGAGTGGGGCTGGCTGGTTAGTACTGGTTAATATGTATACATTTAGAATGCTTTCTGAATGCCAAGGGCAAGGGGAAAAAAACGAAGCGAAATTAAGAGCCTATGAAGCCCATCCCTGTATGGATGGAGGACCAAGGAAAGGAAGAGTACATGGAGCTTACTTCTGCTTCAGGCTGGTTTATTGAAGATTTCTAATTTGTAATTACAAGTGGGTTCATTCTTGTGGAAGCTCCTCCACCAAAAACCCTGTGCTCAACAGACCTGTGTCAGCATCATCAAAGAGAAGTTATTTTCCTCACATGCAATGCAAACATCTCTCAGATTGTATCTGGGATCCAAAGAAGCCCTGCCTGGCCTTCCTACGGACCCTCCAGAAATAGATACTGCTCAAACTAAATATGTGGGTGGGAAAGCTGGCTTTCCCTAAGCCATGAATTGGACTGCACTACCACCTCCAGAGTAAGACTTGTAACACCCGGAACCCTGGATGAGCTCTGGCCAAATGACTGTACTATTAGGAGCAGGAGTCAAAGAAATATGCTAAACATCAGTGCAACCATGAGTGGTGAGGTCAACCAGAACCAGCTGGAGACAACAGAGGTCACCAGCCCGGACAGGTCACAATAGATGCTAAATGCAGGATTCAGTAAAACAAGGTCCACTGGGGTGGATGATGAGAGGTCCAGGGCCTCAAGCTGGTGAAGCAATGACTGCCCACTCTGCTGCTGTGCTCCTGGTGAGCTGTGTGGGACTTCCATGTAAACAGGAACATGGGCTCCATTTATTAAGGGGAGATTTCTTCCTTTTTTATTCTTCCTACCTGTTTTCAAGCTCAGCCCATTTGGCTGTGTGGGTAGATGAGAATTATTAAGTAGCAAAGTGGGGGTGGATGAGTATGAATACAAAATGGTCTGTCATCAGCATCTTGTGCAATGAAACAGTGCTCCTTTTGAGGATCTCTTAACCTGGAATCTGTAAAATAAGGACTCCCTGGAACAGCATGGTCTGCTAGAAATTTCCGCTATGATAGAAATGTCATATACTTTTACTGTCCAATACAGTAGTCACTAACTACATTCAGCATTTGAAATGTGGCTCATCTGAATTGGAATATGCTGCCCTGACCGGGTAGCTCAGTTGGTTAGAGCGCTGTCCCAATATGCCAAGATTGCAGGTTCAATTCCCAATCAGGGCACATACAAGAATCTACAAATGAATGCATAAATAAATGGAACAACAAATTGATGCCTTTCTTTGTCTTTCCCACCCCCCTGTCCCTCTCTCTAAAATCAATCCAAAGATCCCTTTGAATTGGGATGTGCTGTAAGTATAAAATATACACAAGATTTCAAAGACTTGGTATGAAGAAAAAAAAAAGGATGTAAAGTATCTCAATTTTGATTACATGTTGAAATGATGATATTATGTATATACTGGAAAAATAAAATATATTATTAAAATTAATGTCACATGTTTCTTTTTCCTTCTTAATGTGACTATTAGAAAATTTAAAATTACAAATGTAGTTCTCATGCCATTCCTATTGACAATACTGCCCTGGAACATGTGAGGACTTGGGGAACAGTGGATAGAGGGAGGAACCCCTGCTCACGAGAACATCTGGAGTGGTGGGTCTCAACCTTGGCTGCACATCAGAAACAATGGGGAGCTTTAAAAACATCTCCACACATAAGGCCCACCCCAGGTCAATTATATCTGAACCTCTGGAGGTGTAGGACCCAGGCATCGGTACATCAGCATGTTTTAAAATGCCAACGATGATTCCATGTGCATCCAAGGTTGAGAACCAGTCCCTGTGCCAAAGGGAGATAGCTGTTTGTCCTTTTTTTCTTCTCTTTTTGAGATGCTTATCTTGAAGAGCCATGTGATCAGGAAGCAAAGTGACACGGCAGGAAGTG